ACACAAGAATCTCGAGCTAAATAGAAAATATAACTTCATATTGCATTACACATTGACCTACCCTCGTATTTGTAATGCTGTTTTTAATAAGCGAAAATGGTTTCCAAAAAGCTGTACAGATGGAATTGATCAAAGAAAGGTTTAAATGAGATGAATACTTAATAATAAAGCTATGAGTTTAATATAATTCAGTTTGACAACAATACACTTCACTTGTAACAGTGTTGGATATCACGTAACCTGAAATGATAATAGATGTTTATAACTTTTATCAATCCGCACTCACCCCACCGCCCACTTACGACACTTTTCTAGTGTTTATCCATGAAACGGTTGTGATCGTGAACTGTGATAATGGAATGTTTATATACCAACAGGAAAACATGTAAAACTACATATACATGAATATGCATGACAAACGTGTTTCTGAGAATTTTTAACAATTTAGTTATAGATCAGTCTTAGGAAGGGATTTTATGGCCATCATGCAATAGAATAGAGAAAATAAGAATCCGTAAAGAAAGCCTAACACAGCAAAATTGAAAATGTTGCAAGCTCGGTTTGATTAGCCTGTTCATGGACGGTACTGTCAAGTGCAAACTACCGTCCATTCCTCCCCCCCCCCCACCGGCTTAAGCAAAATTCATCATTTAACATGAATTTTCTGGAGATGTTTTTAATGTATGTATTGCCTATACCTACCTACCTCCAGAAGGATGAAGTTGATGAAGATGTAAATTACGGCCTTTTTTATTTGTTCGAGATTTTACGGTCGTTTTGCAGACATGACGTGTTTTATAGAAGAAACTAATGATATAAAAGATCGACAACAATAATATCGTGAATATCACAAATGATTTTACATTTGTCTTGACTTGTGGAAAATTCATCATGGACTACATTATTATATTTTACGAACATCTTAATTTAAACATATCTATTTTATACGATTTTAGCTCGATTTCGAAACAAGGTTCTTGCAACTTATATTAATCACTTTCGAGTCCGCTTCCTGGAACCAACCAGTACTGGCGTCATATGAAGAAACATGGTCGTAACCCGTGTAGTGCTCGAATCCATGATCTCTGGGTTTGAGAGGCAGACACCTTTACTAATAGGACACCGCTTCCCTTAAGTTAAACTTATTTTGAATTATATCAAGCACTTAAGCCAACCTTTGGTTCGCTACATCATTTTTTTGATATTCTAACGATTTCTTAAAATTTCTTACTAATATCTTGATAAGTACTATGAATTTAATGTGATAAGACCCACATATTACTATGTAGAATAATATACATGTATAAATATTGTATCGAATCTATAGAAGAATTATACATGATCGTTCTATTAAATCATATGTTTGCGTATTTTTTGTGTGTTTTTTTTAAATAAAATAAATGCATGTACTAGTGACAAATCCACATATAATACCCACATTTTTTCACCAGTTACAAATGAAATGGAAGGTATAAGCTTCCGTGCAAATGTTCTGCAATAAGCGCAGAAAATAATAATAATAATAATAATAATAACAATAATAATAATAATAATAATAATAAAGACTTTATTTAACGAGAGAACTCATTTGAACAACATATCAATCTTCCATGAGGCCCTCAACAAGGAATAATATAAATTAAACATAATACATATATGTAAATACATACAGGAGATAATCAATTTGTATACATCATGTGTGATTATATCTTAAGTATAAAGTTTTAAAATGGTTCACAGATGTAGCAGACTTTATATAAACAGGAAGGTCGTTCCAAATACAAGATCCAGAATAAATAAAAGACTTACGAAATTGTTCAGTACTTATTTTGTCTAGGGGTGTAAAGTTGAAAATCAGATGATGAACGCAAAATGCGAGTATGAACATCTGACATTAAAATGAAATTATTAAAAAAAGGCGCCTGATTATTCATTTTTTTAAACATCATAATAGCTTTTTGAAAAACAACCCTCTGTGAAAAGGTCATCCAGCGGAGTTCAGAAAATAGTTCAGCAGATGGAGTGTCATAATCTTTGTCTAGAGTTAGTCTTGCAGCTCTCTTTTGGAACTTAATGAGTTTATCTTCTAGAAAAGACGTACAGTTACCGTAAGTTATGCAACAATAGTCAAGATGTGGTAAAATATATATGCATTGTAAAACATTTTACGTACAGATATAGATATGAATAACTTTATACGAGACAATAAATGTAACAATGAGTTGCATTTTTTTAGAACATTATCAATATGACTTTGCCAAGATAAGGTGTTATTTATTGTAATACCCAGTATTTTGTCTTTAGAGCTACAAAAAATTTGCTCTGTTTTATACAAAATACAAGGATCACTTTCACAAATATAATTTTGCTTATGTTTTGAGGAAATATACATGACCTTAGTTTTGTTAGCATTGATAGACATGCGATTCAAATCACACCATTTGTTGGCATTTAAAAGATCTTGAGTAAGAGATTCAACTACTCTGTTAAGGGATACATCAGAGGTTGAAAGGGTGGTGTCATCAGCAAAAATATCAGTTTCTGTTTTTCCATAGACAAGGGCAGGTCATTGATATAGATTAAAAACCGTACAGGACCTAGAACTGAGCCCTGAGGAACTCCAGTAGTTACTGAACTTGACTCTGAATGTAAACCGGATATTTAAGTTTGTTGGGTTCTGCAATCTAAATAGGAGGAAAACCAGGAAACTGTTGAAGGGTCTAGGTTATACATTCTAAGCTTTTCAATAATAATGGAGTGATCCACATAGCCAAAAGCTTTAGAGAGATCAAGGAAAATTGAACCAACTATTTCATTTTTGTCAATTGCTGAAATCCAATCATCAATTATTCTAATCAGTGCAGTTTGACATGAATGATTTGACCTGAGTCCAGACTGGCGTTGGTATAGAAGTTTATTTTCCTCAAGGTATTGCTTTAAATGTGAACTGACATGACGTTCAAGAATAAGTGATATCAAGAGAAGTATGGATATTGGCCTGTAATTTCTTTTATCACTTTTAGAACCCTTTTTATGTATAGGAATAACTTTGGCATTTTTTAACGATTTAGGAAATGTTTTGTTTAGAATGCTATTATTGAATATAGTGGTAAGTAGGGGAGCAATAATGTGGGCCGATAACTTTAGAAACCTTGCACTGAGACCATCTGACCCACATGACTTTGTGATATCTATCGATTTAATTGGTTCAACACATATGTGAGCTGTATTTAAGGTATTTTGAAAGGGGGTATATGCTGAAGTTTAGATGCATTTAGTTCAACAAGCTCAGGATTTTCATAACCAGTCTGGTGAATGGCATGATGGGATTGGTGAAGATTCGCAAATTGCCTGTTGAATAAATTTGCAGTGATAAATGGGTCAGTAACAGGGTTGCCATCATCATCATCAATTAAATGTGTTTGAACCTTAGATTTGTAACCAGATAATTCATTTAAACCAGTCCATAATTTCTTTGGGTTGTGTTTGTTTTGATTGATGGTATCATTATAATACTGTCGCTTAGAATCATATATGAGAGACTTAACGTGTTGTTTCCATATGGTGTAATTATATGTGTCATTATCTCTATGAAACTGGTGTTTTATTTTAATAGCATCGAGGATGTTTTTATTAATCCAGTTTGGTTGGGTGACCATCTTTACTCCTCGTTTTTTTCTGTTTGGTGCATGTTTTTCAATGACAGACAAAAATGTATCAATGAACAAATCTATAGAGTTATCTTGATTTGCTACAGATACTACTTTTGACCAGAGTTGCTCTGATAATTCGGTTAAATATCGATTTTCATCAAAGTGTTTTAAAGACCGGAAAGTTATTGTTTTATGCATGGGACCTTTAACACTGATGTTTGAAAGTTTGCGTGTAAGACAAGATAGGCGTAAGCCTTAGTGGAATAATGATTTACTGGAGTAATGGTAAGACATGTGTGATGCTGAAAAAACTTTGAGTGAAAGTAATAATGGTCGAAAAAGTAGAAACACTTTTTTGTCAGCGTACGGACAATTTTTGACCGTAACATTCAAAGTGTTAAAAAGATATCTGGTTAACTGTACAAAATGAATTATTATCACTTGCTTATCATAATTCTCCTCATTTTTTGATGACTTTTGAACTTATATAACTCAGGTACAATGGTTGATAGTGTGATCGTGGATGTTTTGATGTCAGTCTATCTTGATAATAATATCTTTATACAAGATTTAACCAAGCAGGAAGTCAAATTAGCTGTATTATATATTAAACCAGACAGAGTTGTTGGTGGTGGTGAACTTCCTGGTTAGATAATGAAAATCGACTTTGTAATTTCCTTCTTGTATAAATTATGTAACGAATGTTTTAAATTAGGATTTTTACCACATCTTGATACGTGATTTAATTTCACAAAACCTTCAAAAGTTTATGTTTTTCCCTTAATGCTCCTAATCGGACTCTAAAACAAAAAATTTATCCCGTTTTCAGGCTTAAACCAGACAGTAAAACTTATTTTTTTTAAGATTATACCAAGTACTAAAGCCAACCTTTGGTGCGCTACATTTTTTTCTTGATTTTTTTTGTTTCATTGAGTCGATTTGCAAAACGGCTTATATTAAGTTATTTTGATATATATATGATCAGTACATGTGCTGGGATTGACAAATATGCATTTAATTTGGATTTTAAAGGCGTTTTGAGCTCCACACCACAATCATCTTTGATTTTAGCTAGATAAAATGCGAACAGTTACTACAGATCTACTACATTGAAATGACACGGTTTATCTAAACCAGTATACAAATGCAATTATTATATATATTTTGACAGTTGAAATTGCCATGTTAAAGTACTTAGACTGTATTTAATTTTAGTTTTTATCGGTTATCACGTCTTTTCACGAAGGCCAATATTTAGGAATTCATATAACGAAGGTATTCATTAGAAAACATTGACAGACCTGTATTAATCATGAAAGTGTGGTAATATAGGTAGGGTTATTAAAAATGTCAAGGAAAGATAGCAGACGTGAGAACTTACATCAAGCCGATGACTCAATGTCTGTTCCAGGCCGAAAGCAAGTTGATTTTGAAGGATCTGATTTTGCTAATGAGTTTGTATGTGATCCATGTCAAGAGGAAGGTCATCAGTACGAAGCATTTGGATTCTGTTCTAACTGCAACCACTATCTGTGTAAAACATGTTATACAGTACATTGTCGTCCGTTACCGACAAGAAACCACAACCTGCTGGACAAATATCATATGCCCAAAAACCGACCGCGATTGTCTACTGGCAATCATGACATTGACGAAAAATGTGAAAAACATAGTGGAAAAATAGTGGAGTATTTTTGTAAAAATCACGATGCAATCGGTTGTTCTGTGTGCATTACACTGGATCATAAACTATGTGACGGAGTTCAGTTTGTACCAGCTATAATGGTCGACAAAAATAAAGCCCGCATGGTTATGCTGGAGCTTTCCTCATTGAATGGCAATGCAAAAGATAAACAGGAACGCTTAAATCAATGGCTAGCACTTAGTGAACAAAGCTTTGATAACGCTGTGCAAGATGCAAGAACGTTTTCTATAGAAATGAAATCTTCTATAGAAATTCTTGAAAAAAAGTTCGAAAAAACAGCTCAGAGCCATCGTGATACAACAGTGAACTTCAAAGGCCTTTGAAATTGACAACTTAAAGAAAGTTATCCAGCAAACAGAGTCTCTAAGAAAGGACATGTCATGCTATCAATCAGGCGATAAAAACGCACGGTTATTCATCGCGATGAAAAAGGCGGAGCAAATGATTGCATCTAATTCTCATGTCAATGACAATGATGTTCCCGATTTCAACTATACATTTCAACCGAATGATGACTTAGCTAATCTCCAAGACAGTATAAAGACTCTAGGGGAAGTCCATGTAGTATGCAAAACAAACGAAAGTGAAGACAATGCGTCGAAACTATCTCGTGTTAATGTTAAAACCTCAGTGGAGCAGTTTGCTGCACATTCGAAGGACGATACTTCAGACTGCCTTATTGTGGGAGTAGTTTCTATAGGTGATCCTTTAAGAAATATCGTTGCTGACGCCGGTAATAACCAAATCAAAGTTATAAAAGGGTATTCAGACGTATTAACTACTTCTTTGAAAATACATTCCCGACCATTTGCAATGGCAGAGTTCAGTGATAACAAAGTTTGCGTCACCATGCCAGAGAAAGAGAAAATCATAGTCGTCTCAATATCCAAGTTTATGTTTACGAAAGATACGATACGCGTAGCAAAATCTATACAATGCGGAGGGAAATGTTACGGAATAGCAATAGACGAAATTGCTGAAGAAATAATGATAGTGTGCGAATATGAAAAAGATCAGTTTGCGATTGATATCCTTAATTTTGACGGCAAAACACTGAGGCATTTTAAGTGCGAAGAGGATACGGATATTCCAAGATATATTGAAGTTAAAAATAGTCATATTTACACCCTTGACAGTATCAATGGCGTTCTTAAAAAAAGGTCAAGACTGAACGGTATGGTCGAAAATAAATGTATGGCTGGACAAGCGTTATATTTTACATTAACTAAAAATTATTTGATAGTTGTAACTGGATCGCCACAAAAATTACGTGTTTTTGATCATGACTTCCATGACTTGAATGCTGAAGGCGAGCTGTGTGACAAAGGTGATACCATTGTATGTGTTGGTAATGATTATGGTGATTCATTGTTCATTGCCTTTAGTGCAGGATATGTTCAAGAATACAAACTTTGTAAATAAACATTATCAAACATTATGAAACGATATACTATATAGCATTCTGCAATGCAACTGAAATGTGTACGTAATGTGTTAGTCTGTTCTGATGTTATAATCTAAGTGCTGACATTAACATAAGGTTGATAATTATATCAAGTAATATATAATCCAATCATAATTAAAAGTCAAACACTCTGTTGAGTCAAAATCATGTTCAATTCTATCTGTTATTATTTAGTAATTTGGGCTAACCAAATTATAAAATTGCTGTAGAAAATTGCTTGCAGGCAGAATAAAAAAAGACTCCTCATCTAAGCTGGTATTAATTTTGTTTTAAAGTTAGAATTGTTGTTGCAAGGACGAGACGCAGAATTGTGGCCTTTGATATCTTGATTAATCTTCGTCTATTACATAACTAAACATAGATTCTCGGAAACAAGGACCGCTGATTGCGGCGAATATTTGCAGTACCGGCTTTTACATATCGTAAGTCCGACCCTTGAATATCTTCATATTACCCAATAGTGTGACATTAAAAAATAAATCAAATTCAATTTAATAAAATATATTAAATACCGTCAGACTCGGCCAATTTTAAAACTAGCAGATCATGTAAAATTGATGTTATATTCTTTGAGGCCGTATACACTCGGATAATACGAAAATATATTAAGATCTAGGAGAAACATTTTTAAAAGCCGTTCCATGATTGGAAATGTGCACAGCAATCAGCGGTCCCGTTGACAACTAAAGGCTATTTAAACGATATAGAAATATTTTTATAAAATTTATCAACAGTAAAATTATACTGGTTACATTATTATATGGTTGATTACCAAAACATTTGTAACATAGAATGTCTCTGTTATTTGAGACACATGAATAATGTACGTAAACAGAATAAAATGTTCCGGAACAAACTATTATTTTGTTATTTTAAGAAGGGTTTTTATCCTTTTAGCAGTGACTTTGTGTATGCGCCACTCGCTTTAAGACAATATATTGCCATTTTTATTCCATACAAATATTTTAGAAGATCCAAACAATAACTTTTGCATCAGATACTCGTATATAGCTTTATACACTTTAAGTGATTTTGTTGAAATTGTTTACAACGAGGTTATACATTTACACGAGTTCTTCTACACAGGAACTACATGTATTACTTATTTCAGCATTTTGAATTAATTCTGCCTTCTTCACCTTTATCACTTACTACGTCCTCGCTTGTGTTAGTTTGACAGCATCCAACGTCCATTTAAGCGATATGAATGTAAACAGGAAACGTTACTTCTATTTTTGATCAGTTTTAGTTACATATTACAAGACAAATAAACACTTGAGGATGGGTCAATATGTAATGCAATATGGTCAATAGATTTAACAAAAGAGCAAATATTTTAAAATTTTATATTTCAACCCTTCGAAATGATCTACAAAGATTTATTTTTAAATGCTTCAACATAATCCCCCTTAGTAACTGAGAAATGGCCGACCCAAGTCCATTTCAGCTTGACTTTAGTCAAGTAAAAAAAGTGAAGGCAAGGCAAAAGTTAAGAAAAAAACCCATTTATTTCTCTCATTCCATGTACATGCATGACATTATGAGGTGAAAAACATGAATAAAAGTACAATGAGGCTCAAATAGCGGTTAATTAACATACTACAGTAGCGAAAATTATAATGGATGAATATTTTGATATTACACATGGTAGATTTGTATACTTTCATGTTTCAAGTACGTGGAGAGCCAAAACATACATTGTTTAAACATATTTACTTATAGAGAAAGCTGATTTTACATTCAAAGGTAGTGTTTCATTTTTTTCTTTATTTTAATTTTTTCTTTCTTTCTTTGTATTTCACCAATGTGATTCGATTGTAACAAAACGTTGTCACTAGATGGACCTAGAAAATTTACAGTGAAAATCTAGTTAAATTGGTAGGTTTGGAGAGAAAAGTAAAAGAAAAAGGGAAAACAAAAAAGAAGTAAGGGGCATGTGTAGTATTAGATTGACGATTACTGCTCAATAGTCATAATCTACATTTTTAACATATTCATATCACAATATCATGGTGCGAAAAAAGTATCAAACAAAATGAATATACTACATGTATTTCAGTAAACATGCGAATCATTTTTAAGGTATAAATGGAGATGTCTAATATTTAACAATAACAAAAGAGATAGGGTATAGAAATTTTATATGGTTACTTGAATAATCTCAATTTTATGAAGTGCGGGTGACAGATGAGGGGAGATAACAAAAATAGCTTTACATAGTAGATTTACTTCCCTTTAGTTAGTTACCTACTATTCAAGTGTTTTTTTATGCAAAGTGGATTGAATATAATTTATAATGTATTTTAGAGAAAAGTTTTCAGATCGGCGGGGACTGGTGGTCTCCTCCTACTCTATCGTGGACCTGAACTCAACCAGAGCACGACCTGGGGTATTGAAGCTCCTATAAGGTACGTCTTCCTGTGATGACACGCGCCCCAGGCCGTGCCAGGTGCTCTCCTGACCCTCGACTTCCCAGTGGCGGTCGGGAGTCAGGAGTACAGATACGGAAGTGGAGTTGAATAGTACTTTTAGACTTAACCAGCGTCATCTGACCTTTACTTTAGAAAAATAAAAAATCTGTGGTCCAATTAAAATGCGGAATACTATAAATGTGAATGTCAGTTATGGAGCATGTTCTACCACACTAACACACGCCCGGCAAACTGTCGCTCCACTTCAAAATTGTGGTGTACGGTAAAACGAGCGAACGGCATTTCCGAGATAGAGCGGAAGGCCGATTTAAACGCCTAATTGTAAGTATTGTTAATGTTTTTTGTCTTGTTATTCATTTAAGTTGTATTTTTTCGAAAAACGGAAAATGTAGTTCCGTGTAGGATTGATTTAGACTTCCAATGATCTAAGCTGTTACAAAAAGAAAATTATATTAAGCCCGGGAGAACTTTTCTCCCTGACGAAGCGAACGACGATTTGTAGAGTATTGAACTTCCCAACCATAGAAATGCCATACCCTTCGGATTTCTTGAAAAAGTGTATTAGTAAATTATCAAACCGTAATAAGAACTTGTCCTTCGTGCAAAATAAATTACTCCTGAAGGATTTCTTAAATTTGTAAATCGATATTTTTCTAAAGTAGTAGAGCGAAAGAGCAAGAGATGGAGCAAAAGGTTCGATGTTGAGCGCAAGGCGATATTAATTTAACGTATTGAGAGGAGCGTAGTCTATGATTTTTTTATATAAAAAAGCTATAGAAGTTAAAATAAACATGATCAAGTTTTGAGACCGAGATATATACATGTATATGTGACCCCGATGTCTTTTTTGCCTTGTATATATAAAAGAACAAAACTGAGGGTTACTGGTTCATCAATTTAATTTGTAGTGGACACTAGCTTTATATATAATTCCAATTCGGTACATCTCAACATCAAACATCATATGTCATACATCATACAACATACACATCACAGTTACATCACATCTACATCACATCTATATCACATCTATATCACATCTACCAAGCCCTGAAAGTATAAATACCAAACATCCCATACTATCATGAAATATATATAGTTTTATACATTTGTATATACTACAGTACCTTAAATATACGTAATCTAATATTCTATCAACAGATCAGTCTATAGGGATAGACCATTCATTTTATCTCATGTAAATAAATCATGTACACATAAAGTACATCTTTTAATGTATTACATCATATTGTACCTGCATCTAGTGACCACTTAATCATTTACTTATAAATCAATATACATTATGTTCAACTTAAGAAATACATATAGCTCTAAAAATATATAAACAATGACATATAAATATAATATAACATACCAATTGTGGATCAGACTCTGTAAATATACATGTACCTCTGTCACTCACACC